TTGGGAGTGCTCCTGGATGCTTCCTTGACAATGGAGGCCCAGGTAGCAGCCACTGCCAAGGCAGCCTTTTACCATCTGCGGCTGATTAGGCAGTTGGTCCCCTACCTCGAACGCAATGATCTGGCATCGGTGATCCATGCTATGGTCACCTCGAGGTTGGATTACTGCAATGCTCTCTACATGGGGCTGCCCTTGGGGCAACTCCAGAAGCTGCAGCTAGTGCAGAATGCCGCGGCCAGGTTGCTGATGGGTCTCCCCATGAGGGAACACATCCAACCTGTGCTGAGGTCGCTGCACTGGCTGCCAATAGCATTCCGGATACGCTTCAAGGTGCTGGTTTTGACCTTTAAAGCCCTAAATGGTCTGGGGCCTGTCTACCTTTCCCCGTATGTTCCCCCGAGGGCACTGAGATCCGAGTCGCAAAATCACTTGGTTTCCCCTTGCCCTAGGGACACTAAGTTAACATCGACAAGAACTAGGGTGTTTTCCCTAGCTGCACCGGTATTATGGAATCAGCTCCCAAATGAAATCCGAGCTCTGCGGGATCTTCAACAATTCCATAGAGCGGTAAAGACAGAGCTGTTCCGGCAAGCGTTTTAATAGTCTGACCACACTGACCATTCCACATAACTACTAGCTCTTTATAACAGATGGCCGCCACATCTTAATCTTAAATTTAATAAGTTGTATTTTGATATTTTATCGATTGTATTGTTTTAGACTTGATATTCTATTAATTGTATACTGGTTTTTAACTATTGTAAGCCGCCCTGAGCCGCTTCGGTGGGAGGGCGGGGTAAAAGTCTAACAAACAAACAAACAAATAAATAAATAAAGCTTCTTGAAAGCACTGAAAGGGGAGGGAGATGTGGAAATTAACTCTGCCATTTTGAAGGAAGAACATAGAATTCAGAAGCCACATCATGTACCTGGATTGGGCACAGTGTGATGTGGATCATCCCAAATACAGTAGGAGCTTCCTGCTGCCCAGATAGGGAAAGACAGCCCATGATACTATGACTGGAAGGCCAAAACACCTGCAGCAAATGGCCCAGCACACCAATGTGGGAGGGGGAGAGCTGGCAGAAAGAGGGGTGCTGGCTTGCAGCAGGTCCTTTCTGCCTTGTAGGGGGTATGGATCGCCAGATCACACCTGAGTACTTTGTGCAGGGTAGGGGGTGTTGTGACTCTTGCCTGCCTTTCACAAGACAGGGTCTGCTTAGCGGACTCTGCTAGCTTGTGGTGACTGCTTATGTCTGCCTCGTGTGGACCAGGGGTCCCTGCCTCATGGCAGTGGCTCCTGCCCACCCTCCACTTGCAAAGCAAGGGCTGTTGGATCATAGTAGCTCCCGTTTGCCTTGCATGGGGGCCAGCCTGCATGAAGTGAGCCTTGCCTCACTCAGGGACAGGGTGGGCCCAATGGGGGAGGGGGAACCTACCTCAGGTCACCAGCCCACCGGAACATTTCTCGATGGCCTTCATGGCCAATTCATCCCTGAATGCAATCATTTTATTAATCCACATTACAAATTTGATAATGGTTTCGGAGTTGTTGAATGGTGTCTCTAAAATTAATCCATGTTAATATTTGTAAAAACAGTTTCTAGACACCTCTCTGTAGTCCAGATTAATCCACTTGAACTAATGGAGCATGATCAGGTGAATGCCCCTGGAAAACCTGCAGGACAAATTTGTGAAATGTAAATACTGTTTCTCTATGTGAACAGGAGGCCTTCTTCCTCAGTCCATTGAACAGCCGAACAGCTGCATAACAGCCGAGAGACTTTGTCTCGCTGACCCTGCCTGCAATGCCACCTATCAGATTCTGGAAAACTGTTCCCGTTCCTATGCTAAGAACAGTTTCTTAATTCTGGACCACGGAGCCAGGAACAAATGCCTGCAGGCAGAAACCATGATCAGAAATAGCCATTTTCAGGAATGCAAGTGTCAGCGCCGCACTCAAAGACAGGAGGAACAGTGCCTGCGCATCTACTGGACTGTTCATTCCACTGTCTCAGAAGGTGAGGGAAGCTTTAATTAAATGGCTTGGTGGTATTATTAGCATCCTTCCTCTACCTGGGGAGGGGAGGGAGTGAGGATGGCAATTTTGTGCCCTAAAACAATACCTCAGATCCTAGGGGACAAGAATCTTTGTCTCCTAAGAGCAAAAGCAAACATACACTTGTTCCCCTATACTGAATTTGATCAATGACCCATTTCATCTAGAGTCATCTACAAGCTGTTCTCCAAGGTCTGTTGTAGAAGGTTTCTCAGCCCTAATACCTATGATACAGGAACAAAGAAGCAGGAACAGGAAGTAGGAAGCAGAAAAGAGCCAGTTACTTGCAGGCCAGACAGGAGCTCTGCAGGGGCCAGTTCCAGCCCATGGGCTGCATGTTTGACACCCCTGGTTTAGAGTATGCATGCTTGTCTCAGACTTGCATCAGCCAGTCCAGAATGACCATCGGGTCAGGGCCATCCCAGCATCCAAAGCTAATGTTATGGAGGAAAAGGTGGGGAAAGATTACTCTGTTTCACTGCTCAAGCCCATGATGGTTGGTTGCCTGTGATCATAGTCTCTGTAGACAACAATGGCACTCAGCAGCTTCTGGAGTGTGAACAGGTTAGGCTATCAGGCCAAGCTACATGTCATTGAGAAGTCATTGAGAATTCAGCTCCTGTGCCAGGGTCTGTGCTGTACAACACACAGAATACAAAGTCGACTTTCCCATACTACAAAGCAAGAAGTAAGGCTTTTCTGCTAGCTTTTGAAACGTCAGACGATCTGTGCTCCCACCTCTAGTTGTAATCCCACATGCTGGGCCTATTCCTTTGATCCGTAACAAAAGTAAATCTAACCGGCTAAATGTGTTAATATTTGCATCAGTTTAGATTCTGTTCCAAAATGGGTGCTTTGTATTGTTTGATTTTAGGATGTATGGTAGATTGAAGTATTGTTCTTCCACCCTGTCTGCAAATTATAATTTGAACATCTGTTTAGAAGGCTGGCAAAAAAAGTCTAATTAAGTTACTTAAAACGTGGTGCTGAAACAATGTAGCTTAGGTTTTTAAAGTTAATCTGCAGACCAGTGGAGTTCTTGCAGTTTACCCTGGAGAAGCATTGCTTGTAAAATATTTTACTGAGGTCAAGCGGGCTCAGCTTCTGGAAATCTTATCATTGACAGTGTTCCAGAATCCTCAAGTAAGGTTAAACTCCCCAGACCATGGACAGAGCTGGGGATCAGATTTCAATGCGGGAACAACAGAAGCTATGCTTAAAATCCAGGGAGTTTTGCTCAGAATAGGAGAATTCGAAGGTTTGGGAGGAGGGCTGAGGAGAAGAGTCACTTGTGCCAGCACAATGAGATTTTTAAAACTGGCATTCAGGAAAACAATGCAGTTCTTACAGTTACCTCTCTCTGAAGTATTTAGAAACATTTAAACAGCTTTGGTTTGGTGAGCCAGTTTGGTGTAGTGGGAGAACCGGATTTGATTCGCCACTCCTCCACTTGCACCTGCTGATGTGACCTTGGGTCAGTCACAAGCTCTGGCACAGCTGTCCTTGAAAAAGAGCAGTTTGTGTCAGAGTTCTCTCAGCCCCACCCACCTCACAGGGTGTCTGTTGTGGGGAGGGGAAGGGAACGGAGTTTGTAAGCCGCTCTGAGACTCCAAGTGAAGGGCGGGGTATAAATCCAATCTCTTCTCTTCTTCTGTAGCCTTTTGACCTTCATTGGTACCAGTTGTTTACTCAGTCATTCCAGAGAATTCAGATGAGGTCACTATCACTACATTCCAGTACTTTCTGTGCTGCCCTGTCTTTGTAAAGACGTAAGAACATAAGAGACGCCAATGTTGGATCAGGCCAAAGGCCCATCCAGTCCAACACTCTGTATCACACAGTGGCCAGAAATACCAGGTGCCATCAGGAGGTCCACCAGTGGGGCCAGGACATTAGAAGCCCTCCCATTGTTGACCCCCCCAAGCACCAAGATGACAGAGCATCACTTGCCCCAGAGTCCCTATCTATACCTTGTGGCTATTTGTTTTGGTGATTCTTCTGACTTTCCAACACAATTGTAGTGCTAGCCTTTCATGCAGGGACTGGCAAAACAGTATTAATTCACCTAGCAGGTGTTTTGTCTGTAAAGCCATTAGCAATGTAGTTGTGAAGACCTATCTTTCTGCATCATTTGGCCTGCATTTTCTGGTTGCAAATTCTGCAGTCAGGATACAGGACTAGAGGCAACCTGCCTCCCCCTATCCTGGCTCCCTGCCAAACTGCTAATCAGCAACGTTTTAACTCCACAATGCATTCGACAGCTTGAATTTGTTTTTTTTCCTTTTAAGTTTTAAATTTTCATTTTATTTTTGTGCTAACCTGCAAGCGTACTAATTTTTTTAAAAAGTCCAGACCGTTTCTAGTGTTCACTATGGCTGGCATGGTAATGCATCACCCATTTTTGCCTTTCAGGACAGGCACTGTGAGATTATAATGGGGACCACCATCCTATATTAAGTGTAGTGTGAAATTATAATGACAGATCCATTTCTGGCTGGTGGGGGAAGAGCAGTGCCTTGATGATGCCCTTGCTACACATTGCAGGCACATTAATGTATCTTTCACTTTGCATAGGTGACTTTAATTTGGAGATGTCTCCCTATGAGAATGTAGTAAGTGAAGAGTCCTTGAAGACCAACTATAACAAGCTGGCAACTCAGGTTTCAGGTAGAGTTCATATATTTTATCATGATTCTCCTTTTTAGGAGCTATTTATTGGGATAAACTGGGGGGGGTGGGTAGAAAAATATTTTAAGGGCCACTGCTACTTTAAGGATACTGATGCTAGAATGCCTTGTGGAGCAGAAAGAGTGGGTCTCCAGTCTCCACAGAAGTCCGTAGAGTCATCTCCTGATTCTTTATAGTTTATACAGAAAGCTACTCAGAAGGAGAAGGTACATTAAGGAATTTCAGGGACAGAGCTGGAAGATGATAGGTAAAATAGAGTCACTGTTTTAGGGTAAACCTAGTCATTTTTAGTAATATCCTGGTGCTTTGTAGTTATCAAGGTACAATAGGGTTTTTTTCCTTTTATTATTGTCAATAGATAAGTGAATGAAAGCCGCATTGAAATGTTGTGAGCTGGAACACTAGATTGTATCCATGATTCCACTGTGTCTGTAAAGTCTAGTCTAAGTACTCTGGCTTAGCTTGTGGCAAAGCAGTAATTAAGTAATGGAGTAATTAAGGACTCAAAAAAAAAATCTGAAGCTGCTGGTTTCCAGTGCTTCAAAATGTGTTAGAGATTTAGGGAAACAGTATTTCAATATGCCCTGCTATTTTGCTCTTCTAGATTTCTTGTTTTTTTAAAAAACAAACAAAAACCCTCTCAGTTGTGAACAATATGATGGAAATTGTCCAACTGTCACCCTAGAGATCACCCTGGAATTTGCTCTGTTAACTTTGTTTTGCTGTAATTCTACAGGGTCTCATTTAGCTGGGGACCACACAAATCCCTGCCTGCAAGTTGCCCAGGTTTGCAGCCTGAATCGTAGGTGTGGACGTCTTCGCACAATGTATGTTGCTAACTGCAGCCCGAAGGATGGGCACCCCTGCAATCAACGCAAATGTCACCAAGAACTGAAGCACTTCTTTGGGAAAGTCGATATGGATTTCACAAAGAGGTTCCTCTTTTGCCCCTGCCAAGATGAGTTCTGTGGAGAGCGACGCCGGAAAACGATTGTCCCAGATTGCTCTTTCCAGAACAGTAGTAAACCAAACTGCCTTGTCCTGTTGGATTCATGCCTGAAAGATTATATTTGCAAGTAGGTTTGGCATTGTGGGGATTGGGATGGCTGACATAGTAAGTTAAAGATTCTATGTCTTGTGAGCAACTAGGCTCTAAAGTGCACCTTAAAACTTAGTGAAGTAAGAAAATAAGTAAACAAAAGTGTACTGCACAAAGGGACTATTTATGTTTTGCAGAACTGTATAGAATTCATCCTTTCAAATGCAACCTGTAGATTTTTTGGATAACAACAGTAAATCAATAAAACTATTATTTAGATGAAGAAGAAGAAGAGAGAAGAGTTGGATTTATACCCCGCCCTTCACTTGGAGTCTCAGAGCGGCTTACAACTTTTCACAAACCCTTTTCCACCCATGAAAAATGCTCCCTTTTGGCAATCTTTCTCAGGGTACTACAAGAAGAAGAGTTGGTTATCTGTTATATGTATATGTTATGTTATTTGTTTATGTTATGGTAGGTTTTGTCTGTTTATGGATGGTGTATGTATTTGAAAATAAAAAATCATATATATATTTAAAAAAACCACAGAGTTGCCCAAAAACTACCTTGTCACCTCCCAACGTCAGCAATATGATGACTTCTAGGTGATGTCATTGCACCCTGCATGCAAAGTACGCATGGCAGAGGATCCCAGAAATGGCCAAAGTTCCCCACCACCACCAGGTAGGACCTGGCAACTCTAATTCCATCCTCCTTCTGAAAAGTGACTGAGTACTGGAGGAGCACTCCCAGAGACTCAGCTGAGTGGCCATTTTCCACAGCCTCTCCCAATTTCCATCTTCCTTGTCTCCTTCCCACCCAACAGCTAACGTACATTTATCTGCCCCTCTGTCTTTCATTCTCCCCTCCCCAGCAGCCTCTACCCAGGAAAACTATGGTCCGGTTAAGTGGTGCCAGTCACTGGACAAGGCCCACTTGCATGGTAGGGAACCCTCAAGGACTTGGGAGACACCTCACTTTCCCCTGTATCCCCCTCCCCACACTATTTCCTCTTTCCATCCTCCTGGCAACTCCCATATCCCCTCTCCTTTCTCTGTTTCATTCTCTCCTCAGCCATTCACCAACCTACCTTTTATCTGTCTCCCATCTTCAGCTATATTTATTACTAGGAGGGAAGCTAGTTGTAGGGAGAAGACAATGGCGCGGGGCCCGTCCCGTGCTTTCTCCCCCATCCGCAGACCCCGGGGTCGGTGGGTGGACAGGGGTCTCCGGGCCGCCTCAATGGTTGTGCGCCCCAACAGCATGCCCCAGCCCCCTTCCACACACAGGCTGTCCACTGGCATGCCTTGGTGGGCTAGTACAGTCGCGGTGGCAGCAGGCCCGGGCTCGTGCCGACGAACCCGCAGCTGGTGAAGGCCAGGTCGCCTGTCACATCGGATCGAAGTGAGGCCCTTTTGTCCACTTCCCCCCCCTCCCCAGACCCCGGGGCTGTGCTGCATGCGGCGGCCTCCGGGCCGGCTTAATGGGTCTTTGGCTGGGCAGCACACCAGCCCCCGCCCACAGGGGTGGGAGGAAGGGGATCGGGCAAGCGTCCAGCTGCCGGACCGCGCATTCCGTCCAGCGGGTCCATGCATACTGAGGGCAAGCTGGTGGTTGGGGCTTGTGTGGGCGGGACCCCACAACACAGCCAGCCAATGCAGGCAGTGCCTTTGGAATGACAGTTCAGGTGGCCAACTGATTTTGGCGTGAATAGAACTTTGCTGCCCCAAATCGCTTTTATTCATAAGGAGAGATTTATTTCATTTATATCTCACCTTTTCGCATGGTGGGGACCAAAGCAGCTTACATATTCTTTCTCATTTTTATGCACACGACAACCTTGTGAAGTAGGTCAAGCTGAAAGTATGTGACTGGTCCAAAATCACCCAGTGGGCTTCCACAGCAAGATGGGGATTTGAACCCTACTCTGAAGCTCTAACCATCACACCACACTGGTTTCATAGGGTGGCTGCTGTTGAACAGTAGCAAGAAGCCAGCTCTAGTTCAGTCATGCAAGTTACCTAAAGATTCCTTTCAGGCCTAGGTTTACCAGCCTCCAGTTGGGACCTGGAAATATCCCAGAATTACAACTGAACTTCAGAAATCTGTCCTGGAGAAAATGTCTGCTTTGCAGGATTGACTCTGTGGCATCATATCCCCAAATCCTGCTTTCCTTGGACTCTACCACAAAATCTCTAGGTGTTCCCCAGCCTGAAGGTGGCAACCCTTGTCAGGCCTGCCTTCAAGGACCAAAGACCAAAATAGACCTGGAAAGGGCCCTGCTCCTCCCCCTTCCTTTTACTGACAGAACTAAGCTTGAGATACTATGGTTGCCTAGCAGTAGCCACTGAGGGAATCCATTTTTTTAAAGCTACAGGCTCTCCTTTTATCATTTTTGGCTTTTTAAATGTGCCCAGTGTTTGTTTGTTTTTAGATTTCACATTTTTCTGCAATCCAAGGGCCCAAGGTTTGTAGAAAGATCTGTCTTGCCTGTTTTCCGCTCCAGTTGCTGGATTTAAGTATCCAAAGATACTTCGCTATTAGAATACAATATGCCCTTTTACATGAGAGCCCTTTAGTGCTGCTGACACAAGGCTCTTCTGCCATCTGCCAGGTGTGTGTCCATTACAGTTTTGTACAATCTGAAGCAATTTTTGATAGGGCTGTCAGTGACCAGGTTACACTGCTCTGGGAATCATGTCCAAGCCACACACTGCTGGTTGCCCGTCTCTAACTTAGACATTACTCTGAAGTTATAGGATCTGCTATATATTTGTTTCTTTGGCTTTGTATTAAAGAAATCCTAGTGTTCTCTATGAAATACATGGCAGATGAGTAAAACATGCTCTGCATTGGTACAAAAGTCACTCTTGCTGATAGTTATTGTTTTCCACTAGATCCCGACTGGCTGACTTCCAAGAACAATGCAAGCCCTCAAGCTCTTCCTCAGATGGCTGCTTTCAGCACAACCATGCTACTTGCCTGGAGGCTTACATGGGGATGATTGGTATGTGCTGAGTTGAGAGGAATTTGATGTGGGTTATGGCATAAGACACATCTGGGATTTGGGGGGTAAGAGCAATACAATGCTATGTCTTTAGGATATGTGGGACAGAACACGAATAAGAGTACGAATTGCTCTGATTGCAGTCTTAAATGAAGGGAACACCAATACCACATTAGCATTAGAATGTTTCCATCCATTGCTTTGGACTTGGTCTATGCTATTGACTTCGTATGTCAGTTCTACAGCTGAATAATCCATTTGCTTTCTTTTTTTAATAATTCTGTTTTAATCAAAATGTATACAAAGAAAAAAAGAACAAAATAATGTATTTCGTCAGTTCCTAAGCAGACTATTCAAGATGCAAAATTAGTATTTTCCATATGTGCCAGTTAAATTCATAGCTTTCAAAAGATAACTCAATCTGATCATGCAGATACAGACTTTCAGTTTGTCCAACCATTTTTGTTTATTTGAGAAAAACCTCTTTTTCTTAACGCTGGTAGCAGAACCAGCCTTATGTACCATGGCAGGAAGAAAAAGGTACCATGCTGTGAAACAGCACAGATTTATCTTGCTTGAGATCCCTGGCACAATTGCCAGAGAGGCCTGGGAGAAGTTCTGTGCACGAGCCTGTCTGAGGTTTTTCTTTTGTCATACCCAGTCACTGAGGATGAGCCGGTCATGCTGATTGGCTGCCCGCAGACATTAATTTTGCTTAGTATCTTTCTCTTTAGACATCCCCTGGATGCATTAATTATTCCTGCCTTTAGCGAATCATCCCGGCAACCCTTGTTCTCTCCATCTCCTCTCCTTGTTGTGCAGCCTGGTTTATTATGCCAGCAGTAATCAGGGATTGTGATTCCTGAGAAGCTGTCCCTACAGCAGAGGACCCTCTCAGCCCCACTCAAAGGGAGACCCATGCTGACGACAACTGAGGGTAGTAATGAGTAAAGGGAAGAGATACATTCTTGTCTGTCAAAACTTCCTGATACAGAGACACAGCTGTGAAATAATCCAAAGACCTGTTGAACATCAACAGGAATGGAGTTCTGAAAGTTGAATTAAGTGGCTGGTATTTACCCAGAAGTATGGCTTTGCAAGTTCTCATGACCAAAGTCCACACTTATGTATTCTACATGTACGCAACATGAAGCCAAAGAAGTGTAGCCCAATGCCATTTGCCCAGTCATCTGATACATCGGTGTCCTGGCTGAGGTTTATATATTGTTAGGTGACCTCTGATTAGTTGCAGAGATGGTTAGAATAGGTGGGGCAGGGGGTGGGGAAGGACAGTTGTTGTTTCTTCCCTTTAAGTTGAATGGGAGTATTTAGACTTATGCTACTCCTTTTGTCAGTGTAATATTGGGAGCAGGACCCTGGGCTGAGACAGTTTAGGATGCCAACGAGGTCCTACTCTCGGCACTAACATGCTTCCAGCACTGTTCGTTTCTTGTGCCTACACCATTGCAGTTGTGCTGGTTCTGTGAGTATATCAGCCTCATGGTGGCATATCTCCAGATCTGTATGGCTATCTCTGAGATACCCTGACAAATCTGGAGATATGCCAGCATGATTTTTGTGTATCTCTGAGATACACTAGTGTGGGTGCTTAGTTACCATCTTAAGTCTCCAACGGAGCCTTAGGACTGTATCCTTAATTTGACATTTCTACAATTTCCCTTTTTAACCAGTTAAACGGTACTGTATACCTAGATTTGCCTATATCTTCACTGTGTCTGGGGAGAGACCATAAATGGGACCATATAGATGAAAGAGCCCAGCATTTGTTTTCTTCAAGGAAGTGTAAGAGCATAAGACAGGATTCTACTGCTGCTCCATTGACCTAAGTGTGGAGCCTTCCACTGGAAGAAGTATCTGCATTTAGCTAAACAGAGTGGTAGGATCCTACATATGGTATTTAACAACACCAGTGTCTGTGGAATGCACCTGTTGTGTATGACCTGGCAGAAGTCTTTGCAGAGACAGTAGAGAAACATAGGATGAGTCTTTTTTTATTTTATAAAAGTCAACAAAACATATAGACGTACGAACATAAAAACATAAAGATAATAAATTTGGGGAATATCGTTACATCCATACCACCTCTAATTGTTAACGTCATACAATTTCTAGTTATATTTTTTCTCTTTCCCCACCTTATATTTTCTCTTGTGGTTATAATGGCCCCTGCCACATGGGGCGGAAAGGGGGCAGGGGGTGGGGAAGGACAGTTGTTGTTTCTTCCCTTTAAGTTGAATGGGAGTATTTAGACTTATGCTACTCCTTTTGTCAGTGTAATATTGGGAGCAGGACCCTGGGCTGAGACAGTTTAGGATGCCAACGAGGTCCTACTCTCGGCACTAACATGCTTCCAGCACTGTTCGTTTCTTGTGCCTACACCATTGCAGTTGTGCTGGTTCTGTGAGTATATCAGCCTCATGGTGGCATATCTCCAGATCTGTATGGCTATCTCTGAGATACCCTGACAAATCTGGAGATATGCCAGCATGATTTCTGTGTATCTCTGAGATACACTAGTGTGGGCCAATATATAGTCTTTTACATATATTTAAACATATAGTTTGTTTTCCCTCTATTTGGGTTAAGTGTCTATAAAGTTCAAATATTCAAATATTGTTTTCTTCCATCCATTTATAAAATCTGGACCAAGTATTTTCAAATGTTATTTTGTTTTGACCTCTCAAAATTGACCTCTCAAAATTTGCAAAAAATAAAAAATTGTCCATCTCTGCTGTTTCAAGTACTTTGATTACAACTTCTTCCTTTGAAGGCGCTTCAGGTTTTCTCCAATATTTGGCATACAATATTCTAGCAGCAGTCAAAACATGAATAATAACATACAGTTCTTGCTTTTTAAAATTTTCTGGTACAATATTCAGTAAAAACAATTAGGGAATAAACAGTACTGTATTTTTAAACATTTTCTGCAGTAGTTCATGTATCCGAGACCAATATTTTTTAACTTTATCACAAGTCCACCACATATGCTAAAAAGAACCAACCTTTTTCTTACACTTCCAACATTCGTTTGGTAGATCAGGATACATTTTAGACAATTTATCAGGGGTCATATACCATCTATAAAACATTTTATAAATATTTTCTTTATATGAAATCGCTTTAGTAACCTTCACATTCGTTTTCCAATCTAGACCATTGGTCTAAGTCAATAGTATGACCAACATATTGCACCCATTTCACCATACAATTTTAAACTATTTCCATCTTGTGTTTTATCTTCCAATATTGTTGTATATAGTTTCTTAATAAATTTTTCATCACAATACAACAAAAGTTTATCTATTTCTGTCATTTTAGAGTAAAAACCTACTGACTGTTTGTAATGTATGATGTATGTCTTTGGATCAAAGATACCCTTCTACAGTCAGAATAAATTATATCTCCTGTATGTAACCAGACAGTTAAAGAAACTCTTTAAAGGGGGATGCAGTGATTTCCACTAGTTCCAACCAATTACTCCCTCCTGCTGCAATCCACTGAATTTTTGTTCTGGGAGTTCAGTGGATCTTATGAACAGCACAGTGGGGGGTGCAGTTGCAGCGGAGACTGGCAGAAATTACTTCCCCTGTATTAAGAAATCAGTACTTTTAAAAAAAAGAAGAAAAAAAAAGAAATCAGTACTTTTATATTTATATACACATGCTTAATTTTGCACAATGTATTCTGATTCCAGAAGTCAGTTTTTCAAATCATTTGGATTGTTTTAAGCTTAGAATATGGTGACATGAAATAGAGGTGATTTAAGTTTTTCTCCCTACCTAATGAGAGAGAGAAATTTGTGGGGAGGTGTTGGAAGAAGGCTGAGATTACAGGAGATGCCAAATTACGTGCCAAATAGAAAACTCTTAATGTAGAGAAGCACACAGTCCTGGGTACAATAGCCTGCTGCATCTGTATCATGTCTCCATGGACTTGGAATCCATATGCGCAAACTCTGATTTTCGTCTTTTTGGGACTTTGAATAGGGACACCCATGACCCCCAATTACATTAGCAATTCCACTGCTGACGTCACACTGTGGTGTTCCTGCGAGAACAGTGGCAATCACAAGGAGGACTGTGAGGAAATCCTAAATTTGTTTTCCAGCAACAGATGTCTAAGTAAGTGCATATGAAACTGCTTTAGACCAGTGGCCTGACTTGGTATAGCTCAAAATTGTCTGCTCGTTGGCAGCTTTTGTCCATAGTTTCAGACCAGAGGGTTAAGGAAATGGAATCAGGAGCCTTCTGCAAACAAGCCATACATTCTGCTCCTCACCTATGGCTCTGTCACATTCTCAGGTGACTTGGTGGAGCAAGGAGGAGAAGGGGCTGCAGCCTCTCCCCCAACCCCGGTGCCTTTCCCCCAACTTAAAGTGGCCTAGGGCGCATCATTTATTCTACTTTGGAGGTAACTTTAAGTGATCTATGCTTCCTGCACATTTCTCCTTTATGCTGAAACAACAGCTCAGATAAACATTGAAGTGCAAGGCATAAGGGGAGATTCTGTAGAGTAACTTGAGTAACTTGTAAACATGAATAACCTGCAAAGGGTCAGTTGCAAAATGCTCCCACAATAGTCAAAACAAAATTCCCAACTGCAGATCATGCACACCTAAACCAGAGTCTCATCATAAGCATGTTTGGACCGTGGCTTGTAAAAGGGGTTCTGATCTCCGCACAATCTCCTGTGTGTTCTCTGCTTTACAGGAAGTGCAATGCAGTCTCAGATGGGCTTAAACCAGGTGAATACAAAGGATCAGGAGGAACTGCAGTTCATATCTTCCCCAAACATCCAGGGTGATGGCACCAGCACGGTTCTCACTGCAAAAATGTATTGGGTATGAATAATTGTGCTAGTTTGGGCCAAGCCATCTTCACGTAGAGCATATTAGACTTAAAGATGCCATGTGTATATAAAATCAATAGTTGGATTAATAAAAGAAGGCATTGTATTTATGTATTAAGATTGTCAGTTAACTATATTTGGCAAGGAGGCTCTCATCTTTTGTCCAGAAAGATCCTCAAGCTATGAAGGAAAAAAATATCCTGCAGCCAGGGGGCTTCATCTTAGATGCATCCTATCATTAATTTGATTCTCTCTCTGCCTTTCCAGGAATCTGTGAAGAAGACACAGCCAGAGGTTCTTATGCAAAACAGACACTTATTTTCTCATTCTGTATATTCTGGAGATCGGCTTTCTTTGTTCACTTTGACCTTGACACTGCTTCTTCTATCGCTGGGTTCACCCTAACGTAGTACAACTGGCATTGTTCATTCCATGCAGTTCTCCACAGAGAAGGGAAACAGGCTGTTGTTTCATGCCAAAGAGAAAGCACTGGTCACCTGCAAGCCTTTTCCCAGTGTGAACCTTTCTGCCGGGACTCAAACGCTTCACTTGCATGTCTGTGCCGCACAGGCACAGTTATCTTTCCAGTAACACCAAGGAAAAAAGCAGGCAGACCAGAGTTTTTAGGGAACTGTTAAAAAAAAAAACAACCAGAAATCAGAATGAATGTTTTTAGCTTGCTTCAAGATGTTTTGGTTTTCATTCAAGAGGAAAGGAAGAAATCCACATATCCAACATATCTCGCAAGTGACATGTTATTTCTGGCTTCAGCATTGCCTGAAAATCGAGATCATCTGGACTCCTGCTGCTTTCCAGGCTCTTTGCAGGCTTGTCCAAAAAGCATACAAAACAAAGCTGTCCTGAAGTAAGAGAGTAATGCTAAATATTAGTGTCTGTACTTGGTCTAATCTTTCAGTCCAGTCTCTCATTACTGGCAAGAAATGTAGCCCCTCTGAGCTAGACTGGGTTTCTGTATCCATCCTAGTAACATAACCTTCCTTGTCCAACACAGGAGCATTCCCTGCTTCTATAGGAATCAGCATGCAGGCTTATTGAGATTTTACCTACCCTGGTTCCCTGGGCTTACTACACATAGGGTTGGATCCAGCTAGCTTCTCTGCAGGTCAGAAAGGAAGGGGAGGTCTCCTTTGACTGCCCAAAAAAGCTGTGCTGGGGATCACAGGACCTGCTTGTACAAAAGCCATGTGGGATGGGGACATTGAATGTGATTAAGTGAAAAAAGTCTGAATCCAACCCTTTGTACATACTTATTTGAGCCACAGGGCAAGGATCTTCTCCATCTGGAATGAACTAATGTTCCTTTGTATGCCCTTATGTCTGTTCTCTTGTCCATTAGACTTTTATCCAGGGTCTTATAATAGTGGATGTAAACATCTGTGTCGTATTAACTGCCATTCTTTGGTACAGCAGTGTTGTAATGTTATGTTCCAGGTACAAGATAAAAAGTTTACACCTCTTGCATATGATCATTATCTTGTCTGCTGTCTTGAAGTTTTGGAAGAGATGGCAAACTAATCATAACTTCTCTGGCATTGTGGAAGGTGCAGTCAGTACTATATCACATTTCTGTCTCATCCCACAAGAAAGATAGATTTGGGTATGGTTATTAAGGTTTTAAAGCTAAATATCATATGTGAAAGATTTGGGGAACAGCCTGTCTATTTTGGCACTGTTCCTTTTGCCTTGGACCTTGAGATGCTCAGGCAGGCTTATAAATATTTTAAATACATTAATTAGATAAGTTCAATAGTGACAGTATTGCCTCTGCATCCTAGCATGCTTTCCTCGGTTTATTCTGATACTGCCTACCAGGAGGGACTCCACCTTATTTCTGTATGTATTTACTGCCAGTACTAAACAGTGGGGTACAATTTGCACAGACTTGGCAATCCATTCTGCAATCCAAATGGAGTTTTGTTCCATCTCTTTAGTTAAGATGATTACAAGAGAATTGTTTTCATCCTATGAAATTCTGTTTGTAGCTTTTGTGACTACAAATACATTTGCAGTGCAATCCTAAGCAGAGACGAGTTACACTCTTCTAAGCCTACTGAAATCAGTGGATTCAAGAATGTGCTGTTAGAAGTATTGGTGAGGGTTTTGAATTGTTACAGCAAAAGTTAATGTTGCCTTTTTAAAAAAGCAGTTGGGGTCAGCAATGTTTTGCTTTTACTAGCACAGGATATTGATAAGCCCAGGCATTTGAAGTATTGTGGGAATTCGATATTTGGAAAACAGATAGTATGGAGCAGAATACACTGAGGATTTTGTCAACAGAGGCAATTGTCTCCAAGGCTTTAGTAGGCCGGGCAAGTCCTGAATGGAAAGTCATGGAAAGATGTAAAGTTAAACTTCTTCTGTAGATGGGGCAAACATGCTTCATGATATAGTTTTCCATACTAGTGCAGTTGAGAATAGAGTAGTTGTTTTAAGATTCCAAGAATATGGTCCAGTCCATTGTAGGCATAGTTCCTCTACATGCAGGAACAGAGTTCTATTGAATCCTGTTTTACTTCCTTCTGCTTGTGTGAAGGCAAGCAGCATGGGGGGCGGTGGTGCCAACTAGGATGACTAGGAAGTTCATGCAAGCTTTCCTACCCCGCCCCCCATATTCTCCCTCTCGCCTTAATGTAAGTTACTCTTGCTTCAGATTGCAAATGAACTGCACTGAGCTGATGTGGAGTGCTGAATGGTGGTGAAGAAGTGTATATGGACCTCACCTGAGGAGCCTCTCTTCTATGGAAATAGAACACCAGGCTCTACTGAGTCCTGTTCCTCCACACATGGGAGCTTGCTTCATCCAGGTTGGATTGGGCTGTGCTGCCAATTTATCTGTTTCCAGTCTTAACTCCCCCCCCCCTTTTTTGTTGTTGTTGTTGATGCTGTGGCATTTTTCCAGACTGGCCCAATCTGCATTTAGCATTTGCTCAGTTGTTTTACCAAACCCACACTGGAACAGAAAAAGATGCAGTTCAAAACCACATTCAACTACCCCAGGCCAACACAGTATTGACTGCAGAGTCACCCCCCCCCCAATGGCCATAAAACGGCCATAAATCTATGCAGACAGCCACAATAAAACCAGAGATCAAACAAAGTGAAAGCAGCATGCAGTCTGGAGACTCCCATAAAATACGACACTCAATCAAAGTGAAAGCGGCGTGCAATGTAGACGGGAATTTCTGTTCCAGTGTGGGTTTGGTATAACAGCAGAGCAAATGCTAGATGCAGACTGGGCCACATTCACAGTCATTTCGTCTATGCTGACTTCAGCAGCTCTGACACCTCTGCTGAAGAGGGAAACTGCAGGATGTAAAAGTTACCCTGTCTTCAATATACAATTTAGGCAAACATGGAGGAGAGGGAATGTTCTTTGCTACTGCAATGTAAATTACAATATTTTACAAATGTTACTTGGTCCATAATATCCATAATAAATAATAAAAGTTTACCTTACAACCATGAGAGTCTTTTCTTTCCTTTGTTTTCAATTCAGCAGGATATGCACTAAAGATCAAATTCTGCTCCATGATGCCTCAGTGCAGCAGACAGCTCTTGCAACATGCAAAACTGGAGTCAGACAAGTGACGTGTCCTCCCTTAAACTAAGAATATTTTCCTGGGAATAAACTCGATTAAATAAAATGGGGCATACTTCTGAGTAGGCCTGCTTCAGCTTGCACTGTTAGCATCCTAATTTCTTAGAATTCAATTACGTTTGTATAGCTAGACACTGGAAGCCTCATTCCTCAGCTACTCCATAGCTGATACCATTATCCTGACTATACAGGTGAACAAGCAGTCACTTAGTTTCAAAAGAATATGCTCTTTCTCATAATGGCCATTGTCCACATGTGTGAGAAGGCCATCCCAACCACATTTTTCTGTCATGAGAGGTGATGAGTCTTAAGACTCCCTGGATGTTTTGCCTCCTCAGCGCTTAGGCCTTCTGTGGTAAAGTGTTTGTTTGTTTGCTGTGAAAGGTTCAGGGGTTTAATTAAGGGTTGCCAACTCCAGGCTGGGAGATTTTAAGATTTGGGGGTGGAGACTGGGGAGGGCATAGTTTCGGGAGGGGAAGACGCTTAGCAGGGACGTGATGCCATGGCGACCACCCTCCAAGGCAGTCATTTTCTCCAGGGGAACTGATCTCTGTAGTTTGGAGATCAGTTGCACCTCTATTTCAATATGTACTTGTCAGCCTGGGGATGCAGCGAAGGGTCGGTTGAGCCGTGGGTGAGATCCAGGATGTACTGGTGGAAGGTGCAAGCTTCAGGTTCACCTCAGAGATGTTGTTTGAGAGTTAACACCACTCTCTTTCAACGATGGGGGGTCGACTGACGAGCCCGAGTTAACAGCCTCACTCCTCTCCATCTTCATCGTACCTCTCCGCCATCCCCTCCTCATTGGATTCACCTGCTTGCTTTTTATTTCCTTCTGCCTTTACACCTGTTCCACCCACCACCCACTCCTTAAAGCAATCGAGCCACCAACCGGGGCTCCATATCAACTTGCAGGGGGATGGAGATCTGCCACCTGGCTTTCCATCTATCGTGACCTTGCCGGCCGGCCCAATGGTTACCGCAGCCACGCCCTCCCCCCTTTGTGGGGGTGTCCCTTCTCTTTGGTCGCGGAGCTAACACCCCGGGACCCCCTGGAAAGGGACGCGGGCCTTCCTCCACCTCCCGGCGAGAGCAGACAGGGTGGGTTCCTGCATAGTCGGGAGGGGGTCGATACCGCCCTCCTGACAGTACTTTCTGAAAAAGTAAGCTGTGACTCATGAGAGCTCATATTGAAATAAATATTTTTACTCTTTAAGGTGCCACTTGGATTTTTTTTTATTCTGGAGTTTAAACCTGTGTGAGTCTTATGGTGCTTCAGTCCTTTAGCCCTGATCTAGGGGTTTTTGGGGGGGGGGGCACGGGAGATGATGACAGGAGCTTGACAGCGGCCGTTCATTCATTAGTGAGTAAAAGGCACTCCACACGTGCAGGGTATACGTTCTTTTAAATAAGCAAGTTGCAGCAGCATAGGTGGGTTGGAATTAACGTCTGAAACCAAGTACAAGCCTGAGTGAAACTGGACATTCATTTTTCTGCCCTGCTGTCCTGGCCCCACCTGCTCTTGAGGCAATAGAGGAGGCAACCCCAAAATACTATTAGATTCTAGTCCAATAGCACCTTAAAGACCAATAAGCTTTCATGAATCAAAGCTCCCTTCATCAGATACTGAGATCTCTGAGTCTTTATATCCCAGTCAGAAAGTGGGATGGGTGTTATAAAGAAGGAACTTGGGATGCGAAGGTACAATGCATATTGTAATCAGCTTGATTAGTTCAGAGGGAAATATTTGGGGGCAGAAAATTAGCATCTGAGGTGAGAAGAATCCTGTGTCCTCATTCAGCGCGCATGTGTGTTTCTATTCTTCTAAACTTGTGAATTAACTCAGGTTTACATCCTGAAAATCTACAACACATTCAATCCACTTTCAATGCACTTTCCAACTGGATTTTACTGTGTGAACTGGTAAAATCCAGTTAGAAAGTGGATTGAAAATGAAGTATTTAGTGTGTGTGATTGCAGCATGTGCTACTGGACTAAAATCTAACTGTTCTACTGCAGCCCAACATGTCAACCCTCTGAAACCAAACTACTATAAATCCCATTCCAGTTTTCTACTCAGTGTTATTTATCACTGGATATTAAAGAGAGTGTAACATATAAAGAAAACAGTTAAAATGTTTCACAGGTGGCACTGGACACCTGATAAAATAGCAAAATGCTATACGAATGGAAATAGAAATTGTTGGAAGTGTAAAAAAAAATGTTGGTACGTGTGGTGGAGATGCAAAAAAGTACAAAAGTACTGGGGTAAAATATTTAAAATGGTGAAAGAAATAACAACAATTGAAATTCCATGTATTCCAGAAGTATGTTTATTAAAAATGTTTCCAGAACAATATAACAAAGAAAGTATATATATAGTAACATATATTTTGACAGCAGCTAGAATAATGTTAGCAAAATGCTGGAAAACAGATAAAATACCCTCAAAAGAGGAATTGATAGAAAAACTGTTAAGGTTGGCTGAAATGGACAGGTTAAGTTTGATATTACAAGGGAAAGACCAAAAGGTATATGAAAAAAGATGGGAAAAATTGTATATATGGTTGAATAACACGATGTAAAAAAGTGATTCACAAGAATATAAATGTAAACTGATTGAGGCGGTATAATTCTATGGAAAACTATAAATAAAAATGTAAAAAAAGAAAGAAGAAGAAGCAAAAACCCTTGGAGAAAGGGTGATGGGGCACAGTGGCTGAGAATTAATTTGGCCAGGGACTCAGCTCCAGCCAGCTAGCAGCTCCCTCCCTGCTCTTTGCCCCAGAATCTGAACAAAAATCTGCATGTGCATTTCCCCTTAAATCACTGCAACAAGAAAGGGCTATGGACTTTTAATGGTGGGAATTCAGAGGTACAGCATGACATATTTCATGGGGTATTGCCCCCAAATGCCCCTCCATAGCTACAGATCTGCCTCCAAGTCCCAGAAGAGCTATTATCTATATGATGCCTCAGTACTATCTTACACATGAAGTTTCAATATGCACCCAAGGTGTCTCTCCCTCCTCCTCCTGTACCCACTGAAAAGGTGACCCTCAGTAGCAAACTCTCCAGAACAACGGGCTGTAGTTTAAAGAGAAACCAGTAGAAATAAACTCCATCCTGTTTTGCACAAACTCTTCTGTGGATCAAGAGCTCATGCAAAAGGGGGGGAATTTCAGTGAGTGATTCCCTCATCTTGCAGCATCCAGTGCTGCTCCTGGCACTTCTCAAACTCTTGAGAATGGTTATTACATGACATAAGAAAAAGGGCAGAAGATCTGTTCCATGAACTCCTTCTGTTTGTGGTTCACTGGGTCCAACCCATTATTTCTAAAGTGTTTTGGAACAAATAAATAAATAAAAATAAAGACTGGCTCTGCCTGAAGACTTGCAATCTAATGCCAACATGTTTGCAAGCACACGTGTCTAAGGCAAGCATGGCAGCAGTTTCTTGTCTGCTGAGTGGCAAGTGAAACACCATCCGGTCCTGGGAATGCTTTGAAGGTCAGAGATAAGACTTTATTTCTAAAGAGGTCAATTTGTAAAGGGTAAATCTTGTCAATAACCAGAAAGTCAGATGGCTACAGTAATTTTGTCCCAAGTGATTATAAACCTCATCTGGAAGCATAGAACAAGCAGATCACTGCATAATTGCTTGTTTCGTGTGCTCTTTGGAAGTACTCAATATTAATAACTACCTGGGACAATACTTTGGAGTCAGTAGGCGAACTGTTGATCCATAAGCTATTACAGAGTGAGCTGCTGACTCACTAAAACTGTTTTGATTAAATGTGGAAGTCCTTGTTTATTTTAAATCTATACAGCATCCAGTGCATAACAATTTTCTTAAGCAATATCAAGCTCTTTGGGGAACCTGGTGTGCACTTCACACAACAACCCAGAGCTTTATGCTAGCAATTTCCAAATGTTTTGTCTAAGCAAGAATGAGGCAAACCTCCCTAAAAAAAACCCTGTGGGGTAGTTTGAAGAGCATCTCCCTTCCCTGTCCCAGTATGTGGGCCAAGTGCATCAGGGAATAGAGACTGTACATTAATGGTAGCTATTGATAGTAGCTCTAAAATGCTGATGTTGCAGAACCATTGCTGTTTGCTGTGTTCTCAGTCATTCTTCCACACCATTTTAATAAAACTCACTTTCACAACATGATAACCTGGCTGTTTGATCTTGTTCCCGTCAAACCTCCATTTTGATTCATCTTACTCTCCCTTGCACCCCCAAACCAATTTACTATTACCATTCCCCTCAATAGAATTTTAACTCCAACTGGTCCAGAATGCCATGG